AATACAGAGCATCTGCATCTGCAACTCAGTACCCTCCCCTCTACAAACAGAAGTGTCCCCTGGACACAGCAGAAAGTTGCTGGCTGCCAGGCAACCACGGCCTACAGGAAGAGTTCAAGTAGAACAGGCAGTCAGGTCAGGCATGCAGCTCACAGGCACGCTTGGGAAAAAAACCTTCGGGGCACAGCAGACCAATTCCAAGGCCCAAGTGTGACGGGGGCACCACAAGGAGGCAGTGTGGCCACAGTAGGGACCCAGCAAGCTCTGGAAACCCCAGACCAGAGGTGACAGGCCCAAGAAGTCAGAAGGACAGGCTGCAACACAGGGCAGGGGGCTGCTGGGGATGCAGTGCACACGGGGAGAAAGTGAGACCTCTCGGGGAGCCACAGGGAAGGGGGGAGGGGGAGAGAACAGGTGCAGGCCCTGTTCTACCACAGTGCTAGCCAAGTCAGGCCAAGAGCTGCAGGCTCCAACAGGGAATCTGGTGCTACATGGGCTGCTCAGGATGTGGTGGGCATTAATGACCATCTAGAGACCAGAGATGCTCTGGCTTTTACATGCCATGTCCATTTACTCTCTCAAAAGGGACCAGCTGGGCGCTGGTGGCTCACGCCTGTAACCCTAGCTACACAGGAGGCTGAGATCTGAGGATCGCGGTTCAAAGCCAGCCCAGGCAGGAAAGCTCGTGAAACTCTTATTTCCAATAAACCACCAGAAAACCAGAAGTGGCGCTGTGGCGCAAGTGGTAGAGCTCTAGCCTTGAGCTGAAGAGCTGAGGGACAGCACCCAGGCCCAGACTGAAGTCCAACGACTAACACACACACACAAAAAGGGACCAGTCTCTACCCACTGTGGTTTTCTGAAGGGGCCGAGGCTAACAGCTCCTCTGGTTGGGTTGTGCAAGGCTGTAGGCTGCAGTTCCATGACTGTGGCCAAAGCACACTGCCTCACGGGGCTCAGTTTCCCCACCTAGAGATCAGGAGACTGAGATTCCTAAATGGAAAACAGCCCTTTGCCAGAGCTTTCCTCACTAATAATGAGCCCGGATACCCTGATGTTGCAGCTCCATTCCTGTCCACGTAGGATGGCCAGGTTCCAGTGTACCATCCCCTCAGAGCACCCACCCCCAGAACCTCCAGAACGCAGCCAAGGGAGGGCACCTCCAAATCTCAGCAGCCCCTCAAGAACCTGTGGGCTCCTGGCTTGCACCCTGCCCCCAGAGGTCCTGTTTGCTGCTGGGTGATAAGCTCTGCTAGTCACAGCCTGAGCCAGCTCACCCAGGACAGTCTTGAAGTGGGGACTGGATGCATGTTGGAAAGGCTAATGTGGAATTAACTCTTTCTTTTTTTTTGGTCAGTTGTGGGGCTTGAACTCAGGGCCTGGGCACTGTCTCTGAATCTTTTTGTGCTCAACGCTAGTGCTCTACTACTTGAGCCACAGCACCACTTCTGGATTTTGAGTGGTTAATTGGACATAAGAGTCTCACAGGGACTTTTCTGCCCAGGCTGGCTTCGAACCACAATCTTCAGAGCTCAGCCTCTTGAGTAGCTAGGATTACAGGCGTGACCCACTGACATCCAGCTAATGTGGAATTCTTGAGGTTTGTGCTGATTTTTGTGGGTTATCAGAGTAACATACTGACCTGAGAATGGAGAGATACATAAATGCACTACAGCTAGTATTTTAGGCCATTTTCCTTTCCAACTTTACCCCCAGTACAAGGATACAGGAAATGACCCCTTCCCTAGGTGGATGGTACAGCTGTACCTGGCTATGTCCCCACTCAGGAACTCTATGGAGGTGCCTCAAAGTCACCTTTTCATCCATCTTTCCCATTTCATCTTTCCACAGTTTCACTTTTGAATCAGGTGAGTTAGTCTGCTGGTTGAAATAGAACAATTAAGAAGAAAAAATTTTAAGAAACAATTACAGGAATGTCAAACTAGAAGGTAGTTTCTATCCAGGCCAGTAGCAGAAGTACTCCCAAGCAACGGCTGCCTCCCAGTGCTTGGATCACAGCACTGTGAATCAAGGCGGGGAGGGGGGGTGGAGGGGCGGGGAGAGGCACTATGCAGGACCAGTCAGCCTGGAAGATACAAGTCTGCCTGGGGCTGGAAGCAGGGCTTGGCCTGCTCCCAGGGGATACAGGTACCAGCATAACCCGTTCTGTGGCCTGAGGTCAGCTCCTTGTGTCTGGCACAACCTAGGAAGTTCCTCTCAGCACAAGTGCTCCCCAGGCAGGCGCAATGGCTGCCCCTGCTGTTCACTCCCACTGCCTGGGGGAGAGGGGAGAGCAGGGGCCCTCAGTTACCTCTTGTCAGTACAACTAGGACACAGTTGTCACAGGAAAGAGGGACAAACTGGCCAAGTGTCCCTGTTTCCTTACTTTAGTCCTGAATTACCTTCCTACCCTAACGGAGAAGGTCTAAAGGGACGAGGCTCAGGCCTGCAAAGCACCTGTGAAATCTACCTGCAAACATATCCTCAGTACCACCATGAACACTCTGATCTGAGCCAGTGGGTAACTAAACTGCCACCCTAGGCCCCCTCGGCTGACAACCTCTGCCATAACACTGGAGGAGCACCTGCTGGCCTCCACTCAAGTACAAAGAGACCGCTCCCCCTATAGGGCAAACACAGGTGTATGGAGAGGGATGAGGGCCATGTGGGCTCAAGAAACCTGGAGCAAGGGGTCTGCATAAGAAGGGGCTTGTAGTGATGCACTCAGCTCAAAGGCAACAGACACTTCTATACATAAAACTCACCTCTCCTAGATCTGACCTGCTATTTTGCGGCTCACACCTATCGCTGTACCTGGAAAGGTTGGATGAGCTGCCTTTGGGGCTATACTCAAACAGTACCAACAGGTTAGAATAGCCCCTAGGCCTGAAGTGGAGTGACTGTGGCCCCTGGGCATGCAGCCGGCATCTTCCCTCTGAGTTTCCCACATGCGTGCCGCAGGGAGCACACATTAACTGTGCAGGCTGTGTACTTAGCACTCAATGCACTATGACTCAATGTTCCCATCTGTGGAGTGAGGCTGACCAGCCTCCTTTTAGGGTCATTTGAAAGATAAATAAATTCATGTTGATAAAAATGGACTGGCAGAGTGAATATCCCTGAACCAGTTATTACAATTAATGTGATTATGCATTATCTGGACTTGTGGGGTGAGGGGGGACAGGGAATCACTATACTTTAGTAAGAAACAAGGCCAACCAAGCCTCCTCTGGCCAAAATGAACGTTGTGACTTGCCTAGAAGTCCTGTACTTTTCTGAAGTGAGCTCAGACAGGCATGGAGCATGGCTGGTCTGAGCCTGCAGAAGTTCCCCAGGCCAACTGTCCACAGCCTGGGGAGCAGGTGAGCCGCCCTGCTCTTAGAGCTCTTAAATCCAAGTGGGTTCAGCTCATGACAACGTGCTTTGACCTTCGACAGTAGTAGTCTGCCTTCCTGAAAGGCAATTCCTTTCCTCTCTCACACCCTCCCTCACTGCATAAATGTGCACAAGGTACTCCCTATGAACTGAGCTCTGTTCTGGGCACTGATAGCCGAAAGGAAACAGGAACAGAGTCTATTTTCTTCCAGCTAATGAGCTCTCATAGGGAGAGGCAAAGGGGACACCAGTGCTGTGTCACAGAATGGGGATGACAAGGAACAAAGTACATGGGATGGGAGGGATGGAGGGATACTCCAGATGAGGTTCAAAGCAACACCTGGGCTAAACTACAACCACAGAAGACAGTACTCAGGCACAGGACAGTAGGTGAGGCCAGACACCCAACAGAGAATAATGTATGAAGAGCAGAAGGGATGAGAAAGTGCTGAGTGTCCAAAGCTTGGGCCATGGTTAGTTTTTTTTTTTTTTCCCCTCCTGGCAGAAAAAAGAGGTGGGGCAGGTATGCAGTCCCACATGTGGAGCATGGGACAGTATTGGCAGTCTTGTAAGCTACAGAGAAAGAGCACAAGGCCTGGCTATAATATGAGGAAATTCCCACCATAATTATCATGAAGGCGGAAAACCCTGGGCCATTTTTTCCTCAGTTCAGATCAGCGTGGGTCAATACTGGAGATGGGTTATCCCACCGACTATCCCAGGACCCCTGGTTTGTGTGTCCAGGACCCCTCTCGTTTCCAAGGTGTGCACAGTGTAGACCACTGGATAGCATGGAGAGTGCAAGCTATCAGACCCTGCTTGGTCCTCCACTCACAGGCACCTCACATCTCTGTCCAGCCAACTGTCTAGACAGAAAGTGGCAAAGTGGTCCCAAGATTACTTCCTGTGACTGTCAGCACCTAATCATGTGGCTCTCTACAGACCCTGCAAGACTCCAGAGTCGGCCTGAGCTGGCAAGAACTTCCATTAGGGACATGAAGTGAGCATCATCCCTTCCCCAAAGCTTACCCAGGAAACTGGAATCCCTGGCCACCTGCCAGGCCCCCAGGGAGTGAGGAAGGCTGGACAGTGATCCCTGGTCCCCAAAGCCCAGCAGGACTCCCGAGTAAGTATTCACCCAGATGGAGGTCTCTGCGTTCCTGGGGGCCAGCAGGGCAGGAAGAGGCCTCGAGGTGTCCCAGGGCCTGGCAGCATGTCGGCCCACCTGAGCTGTGGGACCCAGCAGCTCCTTTCCCATCCCGCTTGCTATCTTCCTAGCAGTGCTTCACTTCCTTTCCCGCCCACCCGAGTTCAGACAAGATGGGCAGTTGGTATGTGCTCCGCAAGTATCGTCCAGGACAATTCAGCCAGACACCAACAGCCTTCACCCGTCTACTTCCCGGCAGCGGGCAGCCCAACAGGAGAAGTCCGAACAGCGCCAGGGGGGCTCAACGGGAGGATCCCAAGTGGTCATCGAGTCACCCAGCCCACCCCGCCGCGCTGCCCCGCGCTCCCGGGACGCGGACATCAGCAGGCCACAACGCCACCCCAGGGGCGGCTCGGGCCCGGGACTCCTCCGGCCGAGGCTGGGGCGCGCGGCCCGGGGCTCCCCCGTGCCCACCTACCTCCAGGGCCTCCAGCGTGCTGAAGCTGGCGATGGCGAAGCCGTCGATGACCTCCTCCTCCTGCGAGCTGGATTCTCGCCGTCGCCGCCTCGGGGTCCGCGCGGCGCGGGGCGCG